AAAAAAAAGTTACGATTATTCCGGATATTTCTTGAAAGCTAAAAATAAAGTCATCCTTTTTAAATTTGATCATTTTAAAAAAGGATCCATAAGAAAAAAAATAAATAAATAAAGCAGATTCTTGCATTATTAATTAAAACCAAATCAGTAGTTATTGGAGTTACTCAGTTACTGTTAAAAAAAAAAAAAAATCTATAGCTAGCTAGCAATATTTAAGATACAAGCTGACTTTGTTTTCTGTCACCTTTTACTTCTGTTAGTTACACTCGCCCTAATTTTTAAATACCAACCGCTCAGCTTCATCGGTCAAACTGGCTAAAAATTGGGATACAAAGGTTTCATTGACGAACTTTACTACTGTTATTTTTACGAGCACGAACAGAAATTAATCGACTGTGAAAGTTAAGTTAATGTGTTCAGTATATCTGGTATAAAAGCGCATGTTGCAAAGTAAAGATAATCTGTAAGAAGATGCAGAAATTAACTGGGTTATTTGCAATCAAAGCAGCGGTCACCTCTTTCTTTTTAAACCAGTAAATCTTACAGTACAATAAGCTGATTTTTAGTATCTGTATAAAAACAACTTTGTTCTTTTATCATTGGTTAAAAAAAAACAAATTTTGTCGGTAAAACTTTTTTTAGGAATGAAATTTGCATAAGTAAAGTTTCATCTTTAAAACAATATCTTGACTCCATACCATTCTATATAGTCAACTCAAATTACAAACAGAATTGGTCTTCCTTGAATAATTTACATTGACTCTCTAAGAGTCTACTCTAAGAAGTATATTGGATTTTTTTCTTTTGCGAGTTGAATCCGGAAAATTCGGTAATTTTGACGAGTTAGGAAAATTTGATAACTAAAAGTCGAGTGAAAACTGATTCTATAGAAATGGGGCTATATAGTTTTTGGTTCTTTAAAAAGAAAATAAAACTTATTTACTATTTTTTAATAATTTCAAAAGATACAAGAAGAACTTGTTTGAAAGAAAGAGTAAATAAATGTTTATTTAAACCCCATCCAGAAAGTATGGTCCTGGTATTGTTGCAGTGGGGTTTTATCTGGACTGGAACCCATTATTTTTTTAGTTAAAAAACTTGATACTTATTTAAACGTAAGGGTAGGTTTACCCACCCCGACTCCAGAAAGTACGGCTGGTGTTGTTGTCATGGGGTTTTATCGAGACCACCATAGTTAATACATTTTAAAAAATATTTGGGAAGGAGGCCTTAACTCCCTAAGCCCCTCCTTCTGCAAGTGCGGCCCTTCTCTTATTGTAGCAGGGTTTTATTGATATTTGAAAATATAGGGGCGGAGGCTTAGCCTCCAAATCCCCACTCTAGAACGGCCCTAAAATCAATTTTCAATTGACTTTTGTGCCAAAATTACCAAATCTTCTGTTATTCAGTAACTCCAATAATGGCTGAAGAACACAAATGAAATGTTAATTTATTTCACAATTCAGTTTCATGTCACTGAATTTCTTCACAAATAGTTTCCAAACACAAAACCCACAAAACTTCTTTTTTGTTTCTCAACATCTCTCGAATTTTTAACTGAAAGTGAAAATCATACCTGCTTTTAGGACTGGAGTACTTTAATTTCAGAAAAAAAAAAAATTGGAATATTTCCATATGGATTCCATTCAATTATTAATATTTCATAAGCTTGGCTTAGTATATAAATCAGTCAGGTGATGGAGTGAATTTGTAGAAAGACCGTGTTGTACCAAGACCAAGTATAGAATAGAACTGATTGCCTAGATAAATCAGCACTTGAAAATTTAGGTCTTTATATGGCAATTTTTTTTCTAAGGGTAGCTTAGATGTAGCACTAGGCTGAAAGTATGGGGTACCTGGTAAGTATTGAACTCCCTACTCAGTCATAATTGCTCTAGGAAGATGGGCTTACTAACCATTACACCAACGTGGGAACACTGAGCTTTCATATCGTTGGGTGGCGAAATACATTATTTTATGAGAGCCATGTACAGCACAGACGTCAGTTGGGACCATTCATCAGTAAGATTGCTGAAAATGGTCAGCTTCTTATACTGCTGTTTCTGCCATGCTTCATCTCTCCAAGAATCAGATTACACCAAAATTGGAGCATTGCTGCCATATTTGTGCCGGAGCATCTCTATCCTCATTTTCCTGCCTTGACAATTAAAAATCTGTTATGTGGCCTTGTCTTATTTTCCACCATACAGCCCCTTTCTCACAGATGCAACATTGCAAGCCTATTGCTACTTCCATAGTTAAAAGTTCAAACAAGCTCCTTTCTTTTGTGCTCTCAGCTCAGACCTTTACAGCCAAGACTCACCTTGTTGTATCCACAGATTTGAATCACCTTGATTCTCTATGTATACCTTTGGTAGGAAGGGCATTCCACTCTAAAAGCTTTGGTTCTACTATAGTATGATATCTACTGAGGCAATTGTGATCTACTGTGAATCATTGCTGGAAAATCCTCAGGAAAAACGATGACCTGTTTACTCATTTTCTTTTTTTTTATAAATAACAGCAAATCAGTTTACAGACATTAAAATCACCATCCGTCTATATCTCTGAGATGAGGTATAATGATGACTTGTATTATTTACATTATTTGGACTGTTATCCTCATCTTCATTGCTTCATTCAAGTGTCCTCAAGGACACATTGTCCAGTAGATAAAGACATTGGTTAGATCCAGTGACTAGACCCAGAGAGTTGTGAGTTCAATACCAGGCAACAGCAGTGATGAACCAAAACTTGGAGAGTTGAGTTAAAGGGAAATAACTGAGACATCCGGAAGCGGCATGACACATGGAACTAGAATAATCTACCCCAGTGGATAAAATAAAGTGTTCGGTTTGAAATTCCAATCACCTGAAGAAGGCCTTGAGCGTACAACAGCCGAAACATTGTGAATATGGCAATGAAGATGAGGATAGCAGTCCAAATAATGTAAGAAAGAATAATGTTTACTTTTAAATAAGGAAAAGGAATTAGATTAAGTATTGTTTATTGTAAGTAGAATAATCAGTTATTTTCCCCTCCCCAACTTAATGGACTGTTCTTATCAGCAGTGGCATAGACTTGTGTCCCCTTCTGCCCAGGATGGATTGGTCCATTAGATACTATTTAAACTGCACTTTGATTTCACTTGCCAAGAGGGACAATTGTCATTTGAAATCAAACCTGGATTCTTATAAAATATATATTATAAATTAATCAGTTTAAAATACGGTTTTTCTCTACACAGTAATAACCATGTTAGAAAAATGGAAGCCAAAAACTTTAAATTTAATTATATAATTAAATTAAAAGCATTAGTTCCGTTTCATCTTCAAGTGAATATTCCAATATTTCCTTGAAGATGAAATGGAACTAATGCTTTTAATTTAATTATATATTAAATTTAAAGTTTTTGGCTTCCATTTTTGAAACATGGTTATTACTGTGTAGCGAAAAACCATATTTTAAATCAGTTAATTTGTAATATTTATGCTCTGTAAATTTACATTGAGCACTGTTTTATAAAAATAAAAAAATAACAAAAACACCAGATTATATATCTTACTGTTCTTTCTTTTTATTTATATATACATATACACATATATAAATTGCATATCATCAGATAATATAATAATAATAATACAATAATATAATATTATAATATAACAAGTTTGCTGTTCACTGCCTTTAACCCTAACTCCTAATCTTTAACTCTGACATATTTCATACTTCCAACAGTTGGTAAACATCATAACATAGTAGAAAATGGATAGTAGATATCATACTATATTAGCACCAAAGCTTCTTTTTAAGAACTATTACCTTATGAAATGGACTCCCACATGTATGCTTCTGCAATCACTATAATCATATCCTCTTCAAGTCTAGCATCAATCATTATCTAACCACCATATCCTTGTAGTTTTCATTACCTTCAAGGCCTTGTATTGAGTTAACTTTAAGGCCTTGTATTGAGTTAACTTTAAGGCCTTGTATTGAGTTAACTTTAAGGCCTTGTATTGAGTTAACTTTAAGGCCTTGTATTGAGTTAACTTTAAGGCCTTGTATTGAGTTAACTTTAAGGCCTTGTATTGAGTTAACTTTAAGGCCTTGTATTGAGTTAACTTTAAGGCCTTGTATTGAGTTAACTTTAAGGCCTTGTATTGAGTTAACTTTGAGTTAACTTTAAGGCCTTGTATTGAGTTAACTTTAAGGCCTTGTATTGAGTTAACTTTAAGGCCTTGTATTGAGTTAACTTTAAGGCCTTGTATTGAGTTAACTTTTAAGGCCTTGTATTGAGTTAACTTTAAGGCCTTTGTATTGAGTTAACTTTAAGGCCTTGTATTGAGTTAACTTTTAAGGCCTTGTATTGAGTTAACTTTAAAGGCCTTGTATTGAGTTAACTTTAAAGGCCTTGTATTGAGTTAACTTTAAGGCCTTGTATTGAGTTAACTTTAAGGCCTTGTATTGAGTTAACTTTAAGGCCTTGTATTGAGTTAACTTTAAGGCCTTGTATTGAGTTAACTTTAAGGCCTTGTATTGAGTTAACTTTAAGGCCTTGTATTGAGTTAACTTTAAGGCCTTGTATTGAGTTAACTTTAAGAAAGAAAAAAAAAACAAATCTCAGCCAGCAAGTTGGCAGTAGATTGCCATATGTACTCCTGGGCAAGTTACTTTTCTGGTGAGAGGGCAAATGAAAGGACATATTTAGAATAGATCTTACTTGCAACATTGTTACATGAGAAGCAGCATATAATAATAGTTGTTTTATATAGGTACATAACATTGGAATTAAATAGAATAGTTGTTCTGCACCATTATCACCCCTATTGATTATAAGTAGAAATTATCCAAACTCCTTATGTGGACACCAATGATTATACAGTTAAGTAAAAGCTTGAAAAAACTACCTGTTTGATGTCCTCTTCGGTGTATATATACTTATAATTTCTCTGGCGTTTTGATATTTTGTAAGTTTTATAATTTGTGATCTCTTTGGGATGCCAAGTCATATGCAGGTTAAAATTATTGAGTACAAATGAATTTTGTGAAATATTTATGAAAGTGACAGTAGTAGACAAAAACTTTCTTGAAATTGATAGTATAAAAGATGCATAAATTTTAATATTACTGATTTTAAACTATGGCAAGAGTTTATAAACTGATAAGTCTGCATTTCTATGTCAAGTGCTTGAGAGTTTAGAATTCACTTGGAAGAAGAAAACTGATCTCACTAGTTTTGCAGTAAACATTTAAGGATTGTAAATTTTGCAACACTTTTAAGTACTGAAATGGTGTACTCAGTAGAATAATAATATAGCCATTTTTGTCACTCCTCTTTCTGAACAAACTTTTCCAGTATTTGATACATGGCTTTATTTTGCTTTATATGATTACTTGCTTTAAAATTTGATAATTACGCAAATGTTTTGAATCTCTTACAAACAACTTTCCCCAAAACAATAACTTCTGAATTTTAAGTTAATATTTTACCTGTGAGCATATTTCTATTTTTAAGTCTTGTCCCTTTAGGGCAATGACAATTATTCTTCCTATCTTTTGTCAATCTAAACAATATTTATCCCTTTATTATCTCTTACCATTCCCTCTTCTACCATTTATTTACACAAGCTTGTCAGGTAGGTTATTCATTGTTTCCTTCTGTCTCTATTGTCTTTAATGAATGTCAAATTCTCTAAAACCTCTTTCCTCATTGTGTCCCAAGAAATTGTTTCTGACTGCAAGTATGTGTTTCTTATAGTTTCTATTTTCTTTAAAACTTCCTTGTTGCTCACATGTTCTGTCCATGGTATTCTTAGCATTCATTGGTAGAACCATACACTGGACTTCAGATATAAGTAAAATACCAAGTAATATTTATTTTTAGAACTGAAATCTGTTTATTTATATATATATATATATATATATATATATATATATATATATATATATATATATATATATGCATTTCAACAAAAGTGCGTGGGTTTACCAAGTAAAAATATATAAGGATAAACCGAACAATGCCGATAAAAACCCTAAGGTTTACATAGGATCTGCCTAGAATAATTTCAAAAAACGATACTATAACCACCTTAGTAGTTTCAATAGCGAAACTTACAAACACAGTACTACCTTGTCCTCTTGTATATGGAAGATTAAACAAGAAGATAGTAAAGACCCTATTTTGAAATGGGAAATATTAAAAAAATGTCACAGGTATAAAGCAGGTGATAAATTTTGTTCCCAATGCATGGAGGAAAAGTTAGTTATTGCTAGCTATAAAGAAGCCAATCATTTATTAAACCTAAAATCGGAAATTCTTAGTACGTGTAGACATAGGAAATGCTGGTTATTAGAATAGTTTTTTTTTTTTTTATGTTGTTGAATAAAGAACATAACCCCTAACTCCCTGTTGTTGAGTTTTTACTGTTTTTTTTTTTTTGTCACGTGGTCATGATTGTTTTTGGTTTAAGCTATACATTTTGTTCCATTCTTTTTTATTTTCGGCCAGCATTACCCTGACGATCTGTTTAGGTGAAACCTAGGTAGGTTTGCCTGGCTTCTTAGGTTTATCTTTATATATATATATATATATATATAGTTAAATATGATGGGCAAGGAAAAAATTAACATTTTCCTTGTCTGTCATATTTAATGAAAAAAAGGTTGCTGCCCAAATATACATTAATCATTTATATAAATAAATAATCTTGACTAGAGATTTTTATAAACACTGATAATGTGGGTAGATGTGAAGATTGATTATGAAAGACCTTAGAGTTATTTTAGCACTTTTCTACTTCAACCATGCTACCAATTTAATCACAGGAGGGAAAAATCATACTGTTGAGTAATCTCACCTGTCCCAGTAAATGTGATATGTAGGGAAAGGGTTTTCTTTGAAGTGATAGTGGTTGTATAAATTAAAAGATAAATAAATCCATGTATGTATGTATGTGTGTGTATTAGAAATCTCTGAAGTATGATAGCCATCTGAAAAAAAGAGGAAAGGTCCCTCTCTCTCTCTTTCTTTATCCCTCTCTCTCTCTCTCTCTTTCTTTATCCCTCTCTCTCTCTCTTTCTTTATCCCTCTCCCTCTCTCTCTCTTTCTTTATCCCTCTCCCTCTCTCTCTCTTTCTTTATCCCTCTCTCTCTCTTTCTTTATCCCTCTCTCTCTCTCTTTCTTTATCCCTCTCTCTTTCTTTACCCCTCTCTCTCTCTCTCTTTCTTTACCCCTCTCTCTCTCTTTCTTTACCCCCCCTCTCTCTTTACCCCCCTCTCTCTTTCTTTACCCCCCCTCTCTCTTTCTTTACCCCTCCTCTCTCTCTTTCTTTTTACCCCTCCTCTCTCTCTTTCTTTACCCCTCTCTCTCTTTCTTTACCCCTCTCTCTCTTTCTTTACCCCTCTCTCTTTCTTTACCCCTCTCTCTCTTTCTTTACCCCTCTCTCTTTCTTTTACCCCTCTCTCTCTTTCTTTACCCTCTCTCTCTCTCTCTTTCTTACCCCCCTCTCTCTCTCTCTTTCTTTACCCCCCTCTCTCTCTTTCTTTACCCCTCTCTCTCTCTCTCTCTTTCTTTACCCCCCCTCTCTCTCTTTACCCCCCCTCTTTACCCCTCTCTCTCTCTCTTTACCCTCTCTCTCTCTCTTTACCCCTCTCTCTCTTTTACCCTCTCTCTTTTTACCCTCTCTCTCTTTTTACCCCCCCTCTTTCTTTATCCCCTCCTTCCCCCTCTACCCCCTCTTTCTCCTACCCCTCTTCTCTTTGGGATGTATTTATTTTGAAGAGAACTTGCGAGTGTATGTATAATTGATAAGTGGCAATTATCACATGTAAACTAAGTTGTATATTAATGTTACCGTATTATTGGATAATGAATGAGCAAAATTTTCACACTCCTCTTCCTGTAAATGTCAAGATAACACTTGTAAATCTGCATTATCCAAACATATTGAAAAAAAAAAATTACAGCCTAGGAAAAAAAGGGGTATTTTAATAATCATTAACTATTGACAGTTAAGCAGGCCTATGAGATAATTAGGAATTAAGTTATTTCAAATATCAATCTATTTGCTTCTATTCTGAGATACATTATGATTCTACAGTAGAAAAAAAAATAATAATAAAATAATCAGAGTTATTCCATTATTATTATTTAAAGCAAAAGTGAGAAACCAATTTGTATTGTATGGCTTCATTTTCCAGAAAAGGATTTTTTTTTTAATTTATTTTTTATTTTTTTTCAACACTGATTCCTAATTATTTCCAAGTTTAATGCATGCATTTTGTCAGTTAAGAGAAACTTGCACATTTTTATCTAAGATATTTTCACAATAGGATTTAATAAAATCAAATCTTTCAGATATTAATATTTACACTTAAATAAAAATATAATATATTAATATTTTAAAAAAATTGATAGTTTAATATGGGCATCAAAGATTTGATAAAAGAAAAATGAGCATATGTGATGAAAAAAATACCCCAAACTTTATAAAAACAAAATTTTATGATAAAAAACTTTATTATTAAGAGGAAAGACTTTTTTGATTATTAAATTATATCTTTTTTGAATTTTCAAAATTTTAGTTAAAATTTGTTTTTCTTATGTCAGCAGGTGACCGTAAATTAGTATTGTAAATTTTAGCATCTTTTTGCAGTGAAAAAGACACTGATTTATTTTTATGAATTTTTTTTGTATAGCTTAATGTTTATATTAGTTATAAACAGAAGTTCTTGGAGAATTTAAATCAATGTTGTTTTTTGTCAAACAGAAACCCCAGTACCAGAAAATCTGCTCTGAAACCTAAAAAAGTAAATGCAATAAAACTAAGATATCATTTAATTAGAAAAGATTTAATTGCTTTTATGAATAAGATATATTATGGACACTATTGTCTTAAGAAAAAAATGTTTTTTGATGAATAATGAATTTTTACAAGAATTGTTTTTTTTTTATATTTATTATTTTTTTTTTAATTATAATAATTCATAAAGTTTTAAGTCTTTAAAGTTCTGTATTAATTTGTACAAGTTAGGTAATATTGTTATTAGGTTTAAATTTTATTTACTAATCATAAATGGAAAAAATTACAAGTCATCACCCATTTCCCCCACCCCAACCCTGTGATATTTTAAAACTAATTTTGAATTCTTTTTGTGTGTATAAACTTGTTGATTTTTGTGAATATGGGATCCATACACAATGTTATCAGAAAATAAGAACGGTAACTATAGTAAATTTAAAGCCAAAGTACTTAAAATTAGATTACAGAGAATATTTTCCTTAATTTTAAGATTACAGAATAGCTAAAAAAAATTATAGAAAAAGGTGCTTACATTATATTTGTAAAGTATTTTTTATAGATATGTCCCATGTAGAAAAAAAAATTAAATTTCCCAAACATCAGGCTGTCAATAGAGTTGTCAGCACCTTATAAAAACACCCATTTTAACATGAAGGATGTTAAAATGCTTTTCTGTGATATTTCAAACTAAAAGTAACTAATATTTGTTTCAAATCAGATTAATTAAACTTTAAATCAGCTAACCTTACTTTTTTCTTTTTAGTAATACAACAAAGTATTTTGCTTATTGGAAATACTAAATTTTTCTATTAGCTTGAAACTAAAATAAAAGCTCCAAGAAGATTTTCATTTTTAAAAATTCATTTTAAGCATTAGGTAACACTTTTCTTTGGAGGTACCTAGTTTAATATTGATGTTTTACTGGAAAATTTTAAAGGCATAGCCAAGGATACAATAATACATTTTTGTTCCCTCCTTATCTAGAAAAATTTGTGAGAGCAGACTTTAGTGTTGATTTCAGTGCAAGAAGGTCAAGGTCATTTACAAGGTTGTGAAGGAATGAAAATCTCAACATTATTGATGCTTACAAAATTTAAACATCTCAAATTTTTCCATTTTTAATCAAACATTTCTGTATACAGAAAATCAGGGAGGGAATTTCAATGGCTAAGAATTAAGGGAAATAAGTATTTATATAATAGGACTTTCATTATGATAGTGTAAATGTATTGTTATTGATTTTATTATAGAAAATATATTGCAAATATTTTCTCATTGAAATATTACTTATACACCCTTGTGCAAATTAATTGAAACAACCACTTTAGTTTCCTTTCTTTCACCATAACGTCAGTTTTAGACCCACTGGAGTGACAGGGTGTAATCGATTTCTATTTTTTCCTCAGATTAGGTCATTTGCAGTGGTGTGCAGTAATATGAATTTATTTTTAGAGTGTATGATGAAATTTGTTTGGCCTTGAAAAATATTGCGTCATCTGTGATTGCATCAGTTTTATTACTCCGAACACTATTGTCTCGACTGTCGATTAGTTGTCCTATGGCCATTGTCTGTGATGGATGTTACTCCAAGAAAGCATATGAAAATTGCTGCATGAATGCACTGGCAAGCCTTCAAGTGAGCAAATCAAAGTACTGGCCCGGAAACTCTCCTGATTTAAGTCTGATTGAGAATCTGTAGTCAATCTGCAAGGAACAGCTTTGTGGAATGGACATATGAAGTATTAACATGTGCACTGGGTCATGTTTTATTAGAAAAATATAAAAAAAAAAAAGTAAATAATAACGGAACTATTCGTTTTGTTTCAGTTAATTTGCACAAGAGTGTATCTTATCGGAAAATATTGCAAATATCTTATGGAAATATGGATTTAGAAGCTGATTCATTAAAAGTAATATATAGGGGATAAAATGCAAGAAAAAGAAAAAAAATAATTGCATAAAGCCAGTAAAACAAAACAGAATGAAAAGCATTTTATATTATATTGCTTTTAATGTCTGCTTTTATAGCTATGTTAAAATTTTTGTACCTGTACAAAGTTACTATGAAAATATATTAAAAATAAGGAAGAAAGCCATTATCAGGAATTAAGGTAATCTTTACTGATAGAATTGCTTAATTATATATCTTGGGAAGAAATGCATGTATCTGCAAGTAATATAATAACATGTTAATGGTACATTGTTTCAAGTGAGTAGTGTACGCATGAGCAGTTTTAAGCTTTTTATTCAGAAAACCTACAAAGCGATAAAATAAAACTAATTTTACTCTTCTGAATTGTTTCAGTGATGCATAACATGTAAACAAATAACAGCTGTACAGAATATTCCAGAAAATCTGGAATCCACATGAAAAACAAGCATCCGGTTCCTCTCTGCCCCTGCAATTTGAGAAGATCTGCAGAGAATCTGCTGTCTACAAACAAAACATGGCACTTAGCAATTAAAAAAATATATAATCAAAAGGCTGCAAGGATAATGAGATTTAGGACATGTGGATTTTTACAAGTATTCTCTTAGAGGTCTACTGGTGATGCATAAAACCTCAGATTTCTCAGCTTGCAAATTCAAGCTTCAATCATCACTGAACTGCATCTGCAAATGCTTTTTTGTATAAAGTTGCTGGATGTTTCTCATGAAGAAACCAAATTACAATATTCTGTGTGTACAGAAATGTAACCTTGAGGCAAATATCCCCATCTATATAATGTTTAGAATTTTGCCATATTTATAGGAGTGTTTATAGATATAGACATATAGGAATCAACACTGCATGATGAATCAGTTTCACACCGTAATCTGATTTTTAGACCAAGTGACACTACACTTTTGACAGGTTGTATATATATATATATATATAAGTGACCTCGGTACATAACCTGTTGTATATGCAGCCTGCTAAAAGAGTGGCATTTGTTCTAAAGTTTGTATTGTGTGAAACTGAGTCACTATGCAGTATTGATGCCTGCTTCTATATCTATAAACACTTTTCCACTATAAATATAGCAAATGTTAGATATGTATATTGTTTGTGCTGATATGAAAGTTCACAATGCCATCTGTTGTTTTTGTACAATGTTTGGGAAATCTTATTTTTATGCTGAAATTCATCTGCATAATATGTTGCAATAATTCAGATTTTACAAATGCTATTTTGGTTTTTTCTTTTTCTTTTTTAAAGCAAGAAAGAAAATAACATTGTTCCAATCTTATTCATTTCTTATCTTTTTTAAAATTTACTTATATTTTTATTGCTTTTGGTATATATACTCTTCAAGAATTGTTTGCAGAAATTTTATTTTGATAAAAATGATAGCTGAATATAAAACACACATTCATCTCTAACTATGAAATGTGTATCCAGGTGTTTGTGTGTGCATGTAACATTTTTCATAGAGAATACAATACTATACTATACTTTGATTCTGGGCAGATGGTTTCTGGGGAAGAGCAGCACTTTTACTCTTAAACAGAGTCTACTGATTCATAAGTAAATAATCCCATCTTTTTTTATGGGTATTATGCTCATTGCAAAATAATTTTTCATTATTTTGGTCATATCCTTCTATTTAAAAAAAAAATTATTATTTATTGAAGTATGAGTGTGTATAAAATAGGATATTATATATGTATATGGATTGACACTTCTGTTTTCGATGAGAGTACTTATGCCCCCCCCCATCAAAAAAAATTAAACTTAAAGAAAAAAATACTGTAGAAATTAACTCAGCCAGACATAATAGGTAAAAAGGTAGTGTAGCTGTGACAGCCATTGAATGTGAACAGGATTTAACACCATTTGGCAGCTGAATGATTTTGGGGGCTAGAAAGATGGGGTACCTTCTGTCTCACAAGTGGAAACTGCTCTAGGTTTTTCTTGGGCAATGGTAGCAAAGGTCTACCAGGAATATGTGAATTCTGGACAGATGACAATAGTGCACTCACAACTGATGCAAAAT